CCGGCCTTCCTGCGTGGTGAGGGAGTGGGTGTGGGATGCCAGAGCCTTGAGGTACGAGGCGTAGTCGGAAGCCTTGAGGTTGAAGCCTGTGGGGTCCTCGTCGTCCTTTTTTATGTCTGGTTAGATAAAGTGCTCTCTCCACATGGGCAACATTCCAGTGCTTACCTGAGCCCAAGCATCAATGTTGTCGGGATCAACACCGTCGCAACCGAGGCTTGCGGCCAAGTCGAGACGCGCCTTCATCACGTCGATGACCTTGCTGTTCCTGATGTCGAGGTATCTCTCGTCCAGGTAACCCTCGAGGGGCTTCTGGATAGCTTCCTCCGGAAACTCGGCGATATCGTTGTCCCAGTCCTGGACTGCACCGCCGTTGAAATAGCAGATGACAATCTTCCCTGCAGCCTGCGATCATGGATTAGCCAATACGTTCTCTTTGGGGTGAGCTAGAAGGGAAGAGTATTCACCTTGAGAGTGGGAATCATGTCCCGGTAGGTATCGGCATGCTGCAGGTCAATATCCCATACATCGGCGTTGGCGGGCACGATGTCGGCGGTGCTGTCGTGCTTGATGGGCTCGTGGAGGATGATCTGGAACGACACGCCGGGCTTCCACTTGCTCCAGTCAACTGCGCGGCGACTGAGACCGGCTGACGGCGTGGCGAGGCCGAGGATACCGGCCGGCGCCAGAGCCAGGAGGGAGAGTGTGAAGAGTACCATCTTGCCGTGTGGAGGGAAGAAGACTGATGATTTGGCGTACCGACCAATATTGGGAGTTGGAATGTGCCGTCAGTTTAATATATGCAGTTGGAGTGGATGGGTCAAATCAGGCAGAAGAGTAACATGCCCCCTGAGACAATAAACGAGTTGACGATTCTGGTCAGACCGCGCCACACAATCCTTCGCCGTCACAGTCTTGGGTCTTTGGCCGGGCGGGATACTCAATTGTCTCTCAATGTGACCGCTCAAAGGTAAAACAACAGGCCCGCCGGCAGACAGCCATGCTTTTCTTGCCAATGTACCATCTGATAAATGCCATGAGGGCGGACATGCCGTGCGGCTCGAGGTTGCGGCGATGTCACTCCAAGCATGGACTAAGCCGCATGTAGGCCATCGTATCCGGGGGAGTAAGAAATGGGCTACGACCAGGATCCTTCCCGAACAAAATTCTCTTGTCCAACCCAATATTGGTGCCCCGTTGCAGGCCCATCGCATGACGGAGCTGGGATTAAGCTTAAGTGCTCATTGAGAGGTGCGGTGTGATTGGGCAATTCGTGCGTCTCCGCCTTCAACTTTGGCTGGAGATGGGGCGGCAGCTGGACTTGTTTTCCGATCGTGTTCGGCGGTGGATGCGTCGCTCTAGGCAGCCAAATAAGATCGAATGAGACGCCGGCTTTTGGCACGTTACACCGCAAAAGTGCTTCCACCCCTTGCATTGGCCGTAATGTAATAAATCGAATTCCGAAGCACAGTTATTGCTCAACACCGCGCCTTATGGGGTCGATATGGAATCGCTCTTCGCAGATATTGCACGTAGAGTTGGAGATTTTCAGTCTCGCAAACCCCACAAATGAACGTGGCTGGGCTAGAGAGGCAGAAAGAAAGAGATGGTCATTTTGAACAAAATGGTATATTTCGTTGGGAGAGACAACTCTTTACGGTATCATAAAACGCCCCTAACGCCGTCATGGGCTACGCGAAGTCCCAATGACCTCAAGCATAGCAATGCCTGTGGTTATTTAATACTCCATGGCTGAACCGACGGCCTCTTCGCGTGCCTTTCTGATGCTGTCGTTCTCGGCCTCCCTCTCCTCCTTGAGCTTTTCCTCGACGTCTTCTCTAAGACCGCCAAGATCGGGCGGGATAACCTGATACTGCACGCTCGGAGCTGCCTGGACAAACCTCAGCTGCTCCGTCACATGCTGAACGAGGTCGTTCAGTCGCTTTTGTGGGTTGCGGTTCGCGCGCGGCTCGCCCAAGATTTGCTCGAGGGTCGGGAAAAGCTCCTCATATCTGAACTGCTCTCTCCAAGGGGCGTGCGTCGGAATGATGGGATCGATCTTGTCCTGGCAGTCGATGGCGATACTCGTCTCAAAGGCCCACGCGCGAGCCACGTTTCTGGGCGTGTATCCGCCACCTCCAAAGAGGATCATGGGTACGTTGAACTTTTTGCAGAACTCGACGCAGGCGCCGTGTCCTTGCACCTGCAGATTGAAGCGACCCAGACGATCACCGGCGAGAGAGTCGGCACCGCATTGCAGAGCGATGGCGCTTGGTCGGAACTTTTCCATGCACTGGCCGATAACATTCTCAAAGAGCCACTTGTACTGCTCATCTGTGATTCCGTCGTTGAGGGGCACATTGATGGCATGGTGGGCACCTGGGTTGTGCTCATTCTTCGGCCCGTTGTCGTCCAGACCGCCGGTGCCGGGGAAGAAGTTGAGAGGGTCGTATTTGTGAAACGAGACCGTCATGACACGGTCGGTGGAGTAGAAAGCCTCCTCGACGCCGTCTCCGTGGTGAACGTCAATGTCAATATAGAGAACGCGGGGATAGCAGCGTAGCAGCTGCAGGATGGCGAGGACGATGTCATTGATGTAGCAGAAGCCAGAGGCCTCGGCTTTCTTTGCATGGTGAAGACCGCCTCCCCAGGAAACGGCAATGTCAGACTGCTGGGCACAAATCTTCCGCGCGGCATCGAGGGAGCCGCCTGCTGACATGGAGCAGTAGTCGTACAGACCCTCGAAGAGGGGACAGTCGGAGCCGCCGAGGTTGAACTTGAGATCGGGGTTGGCGTTATCAACATCCCGCGGGACAGGCTCAGGGAGGACGGTGCCCAGAAAGTCCAGATAGTCGTCGGAGTGGAAATCGTTAAGCTCTTCGTAAGTAGCGGCGCGGGCAATGTAATTGTCCATGGCGAAGGACATGCCGTAGGAGTAGATGAGACTTTTTGATAGGGTGAGGCGCCATGGCTTCATGGGATGGGTCTGCCCAAAGTGATGCTTCTCCATCTCGGGGTTGCAGTGGAAAGAGACGGTGTATCCCTTTGGGCGGGTGATGCCCGATTCGAGAGCGGTGCGCTTGCATTTGTTGAGATACCTGGCTTCATCGAGCTCGCTGGCCTTGCCCAGAGGTGTGTACTCCTCGACAATGTCGTCTTTGTCGGCCCGATGGGGAAGATAATTAGGCTTCGGTGCACGAAATCTGTAGGCGTTTGCGTCCATGATGAAGGTGAAGATGACGGCTATACCGCCGAGGCTCCCGAGATTGGGCCCTGGTGTTGGCTGTGATGCTTCGCAATGCTCGAGACTGGCTGGCCCTGGTGTGAAGGCGATGGAGATGACAAATTGACAAGGTGGGGAGTTTGCGCCGTGGGAGATCCGGGTAATGTCTTGTCTGAGATGTGCGTGATTCTCTGAGAAAACGCATGTGTTGAAAAAGCTATGCTATAATTCCGTGGTGTCGTTGTTGTTTGCGATGCGAATGGGAGATTTCGTCGAAAGGCTGGATGAGTGCAGGTTCGATTGGATGAGATGTGACAGGCGTTTGGGACGAAGCCGCTACTGGCCACTAAGGCAGCTCGAGCCCAGCCGGAGGGCACCAAGGTCGAGTCGTAGTGGCTGGTGGCGTGCAGGGACCACCAAAGTTCGTGGTTGGACACAATCTACCCAGAGAGGCTAGCTGCTTTTGGGCACCAGCCTCCGTGTGGCTCAATCTCGAGGTTTCTGGTTCCTTCCGGATGCCCAAGGTGCGAGTTTTCCTCTCATGATTTTTGCATGCCACATGACAGTATCTAGAAATAGAGTACGCAGCCTGCTGTGTATATTTGCACATGGCAACTCAGCAAGAATAGGATGTAGGCTCTTGCCCATTTAATGAGGTACGTGCCTTCAAAGGCACCACCGCGGACCCGCTAAAAACCTGCAATCCCCAATGGAGCATGTCCACAGGCTCCGTGCCAGAGCCCAAAGGTGGCCTGGCAGTCGGAGGCTAAAACTCCCGTCTCCGCCAGTCTCGTCCCGTCTCAGCTTACTGGCTTAATGCCCTGGACTGGACTGGATGGGAGGAACGAGTTCGCAAACTTGCCCGCCGCCAAACCCAACGCGACACGCACCAGCCGATTTCCCTCACAGAAACCCAGAGCTGCCACCGCACCGCACCACACACCCGCAACTGGAACCACAAACGTGATTCCAGCCTCTTCCAACCCCACCCTCGCGCGTCGAAAAAAAAATTCACGTCGCTTTCCCGGCAGGGACGTATTATTTAATAAAAACATTCCGGGATCACAGGCAGGGCCCGACCGTCGCCGCGACTCGCCTCGCTCCGCCTTGCCTTTGCCTTGCCTTGCCTTGTGTGTGATCTGGATTTGGTCTGGAGCCTCCGTCGACTGCCCGTCGGTCCAACCTCAACCAGGTGAGCCAAGCCAGTCATTAAGCACTCCGTTGTCGTCGACGCTCCTGGCAGCGCGATTCTTGCTATCCTCCCTCCCTTCACACTGTCTTCAACTGCGGTATACTGAGAGCACGCACATCGTGATCGCGGCCCGTAGTCTGTGGTTCGTCGACCGCGGCCCTGAACCTCCGCCGGTCAGCCCACACGACGGTCCCCGATCTGCTGCCGCGCCATCACCGTCATACTGCGTGCCACTATTCCCACTTGCCTACCTTACTGTTGGGCCTTTGCTCTACTTCTACTCCGCACCTGCCCTGCCTATCTATCTTATCTCCTTTCTTCCTTCTTCTGATGGCCTTGGGTCACGACGGTCTCACCACTCTTTACCTTCCTTCAGTCGTTGCCCTCCACATTGCCTGCTTCCGGCCGTCGTAATACTCGCTGCTGCCTCGCTTGGCGAGCACCTCCACTGCGCGCTCATCCCACCACCTGCCGCCGCCCTCCCCTGCGCCCTTGTCCAAGCATATCATCGCCGCCTCCGCCGTTTTGTTGCCTCGCTCTGTTGCCTACGTCAGCTTCTGCATACTTAGAGCGCATCGTTGACTCAAGATGCCTAGAGACGACCTGTCCATCGACTTCGTCAAGAGGATGCCGGCAGCCGAGGCTCTTGACCCGGCCATCATCCTCGACGACTGGATCAACCGCGTCCAGAACCTCCCCGAGGAGATCCGGTTCTTGCAAGATGAGATCGCCGACAAGGACCGTCAGTACGGCGACTGCGTCAAGCTGATCGAGGACCGCGATGGGAAGATACAGAAATGGATCAAGGCGAACGGGAGCCACGAGACGAATCCTCGCGAGGACGGCATGAGGACACAGATGCGCGAGAACTACATGCGCGCCGACCAGCTGGCCACCGAGAAGATCGCCCTGACCCAGAAGTTGCAGCTCATCATGGACAAGCATCTGCGGAACCTGGACCAGCACATCAAGATGCTCTACGATCGAAGCGAGCCTGGGTTCACCGATCCAGACGAGTGTCCGTCGCTGCTACGCCCAAGCGCGGCAAACCATTCAGCTCCGTCCGCCAGGGCCGTCAACCCGGCGAGCCACTTGGCCGGGGCCATTACCGCGACCCCGTTGAACCCGATCGTCAACTCGTCGAGCCCCGCTACCGTGCGCGTCGGCAACCCGCAGGTTCGCAACACAATATCGCAGCAACACGCCTCCTCGGCGCCCGCGACACCGGCTGCCGCCAGCATGATAATGAATCGCCAGGCAAGAGAAAGCTCGGCAGGACCAGGAAGCGGCGCGCCTAAGAGGGGCCCGCGGTCCAACTCCGGACTGGGCAGCTTGCCGGCGACCTCGAGCGGGCTGGCGAGGCATTCCTCCCTCGGCCCGGGCACTCCGAAAGGAGCCACGAACCCGGGCCCTGGCGGTGCTGTGCGGGCTGGTAGCGCCGGGCCGCGGTCGTCATCAACCAAGGCTGCCAGCGTGTCTGGCATCAGGAAAGGAACACCTGGCGCCGCAAACCGCAAAAAGGGCAGCATTGCCAATGGCAACAAGTCGTCGTTGTCCCGCGTCAAGAAGGCAGGGAGCCGCAACTCTCCGGCGTCGACAGCAGACAGCGAGTTGTCGGATGCCGAGAGTGGTAGTGGCGATGACGGCGACCGTAGCAGGGCAGACCGGGCAAGCGGTACACCAGCGCGTGACGGCAAAGACGGGGACGGGGACGACAGCATGCTCGACGCCGAAGATGACGAGGCCGGCGACGACAAAAAGTACTGCACGTGTCAAAATGTCAGCTTTGGCGACATGGTGGCGTGCGACAATGAGGATTGCCCTTATGAGTGGTTCCACTGGTCATGCGTCGGCCTTAAGAGCGAGCCTAATGGGACATGGTTCTGCCCCGTGTGCTCGGAGAATATGGAGAAGGAAAAGCTGCAGAAGAAGAAATGAGACTGGCTGCGCCGGGCAAGGCTGCAGCTCAAGAGTGATTATACCCCTTGGAGGCCGAACTGAGAGGGTGTCGGCCGGTGGTGGATGGCTATTCGGCGTTATGGTACGGATACATGCATGTTTTTTTGACGAGTGAGCCACGAAGCATCCTAGCGAAACAGCGAGACAAATACGATAAGCAAAAAAAAGAAAGAAAAAAAAAAAAAACCAAATACCCTGTTCATCTTCATCTTGATAAACAAGTGTAATCGCAGTGATGTTGCCTTGCAGAGTGCTGATTCGTCGCCGAGAATGGCAGACCTTCTCAAGCGCCGCAGCCCCTGGAACTTCAGCCCAGCCACCAGGACGATCCTTTGGCCGTGTGTACACAAGCTTAAAGCAGGACACCCTCCCCCCACCCTGGGGTGTGAGTGGCCTGTTATTTATTTGAATTTCTTATATTAGTCTTAGTATACTACTTTATCCCTTAACTCTTATAGTTATCCTACTTTTTTTTATATAATTTAAGCGATTAATAAAGCTTTTAGTAGAGTAGTTCTATAAGTAGTATATTTATTACTTTAGAAAACTATAGTAAGATTCTACTCTATTTAATTTATTACCTCTTATTAATACTTCTTATAAATGTAATTTAAAACTTAAGTTTATAAACTTATTAACTATAATTTGGTTTATTTCTAAAAATAAATACTAAAAATAAATATAATAGTATTTTTAATACTAAGTTTAGTAATATTTAAAAAAAAAATTATACTCTTCTTAATTATAACTTTTATATATTTTAAATAACTATTTAAAAATTAGTATGTATGATACTTTTTAAATTAATATTATTATTAAAGTTATTAAACTATTAGTTTATTATTATATTAATTAATAAATAGAGTATTGTTTATTTATTTTATTATTATTTTCTTTATATAAAATAAGATTTCTATAACTTTAGTAGCTAAAACTACTATAAAGAAAAATTATTTATATTTTATTTACTTTATCTTTATTTCTCTTAAAACCTCTATATCTTTTAGTACTAAGTATAATACTTTTATGTTCACACTTTAGGTTATATCTATTAGGGTTACTTAGTCCTTTTCTGTATCTGTACCTTGCTGTATATTGTACCTCAGCTCAAAGCAGGACAGCTGAGCTGCCCCCACGTGGGACGCATGAGGGAGCCTCATCTGATGGTGGTCTGTTCCCAATCACACTGCATAGGTCACCTTTAGAGGTGCGAATTTGGGGGTTCAGGTGCAGCATAAACTATTTTCGTTGCTTTTCCAGGGGGGCTTTCGATGACATTTCGCCAATTGTGTTTCGTTTCCTTTGCCCACCCCTGCACCGGGAAAATTGAGGTCGACATGAAGCAGATTGCCAGTTGCCCCATTTGAGGGCTCAGCAGGTGGACAGACAAGTCGAGGCCCGTCGGGAAGACCAGGAGAGACGGGCATTATTGACAATGGCGTCGAGAGCGCAAATTGCACTATGGAACACTTCTGGACGGGCGGCGGCAGGGGTCCAGCGTGATGGTGGTGGCACCGGTACGAATAGTGTTGGCGTTGGACGGACGGCGGTGGGCTTGGCTCCCGGGGCTGAAGTGGTGGGCAAAAACCAAGATCGGAGGTGATCCAAGCCCGGTGCTGGCCGGCGAAGCCCGGTGCTACCTTGTTCCCCTGGCCTTCGAGCCGAGCCAGATGGAACGATCGTGTTCGAAGCTGGAGTTGCAGAGGTTGTCTTCTTTGCCTTGGACTGACTCCAAAGGCCCCAAAGTTCCCCCACCACGAAGCAATAGGTAATCAAACTCCCGGCCAGACGGGACCAGACGGGAGGGATTTCACCGGGGACCCGTCGACTCTCCTGGCTGAGAGCCGACCCAAACGAGACCAAGTGGGAATTGGCCCGCCCGGGGCGCAGATGCCGGTACTCAGGGGGCGGCGGTTCACAGCGGTAACTTACAAGAAACCTGTTACCTGCCTGTCACGTTGTCCCGTATATCGGGGATCGCGAAGCGCGAGCGTTCGGGAAACATTCCGAAGAGGCCCGGTGGGATCTGGGCAGGCCATTGCCATTGGAAGACAACTCGTTGCCGCCGATCTCGATGGTGTTAGCAGAGGTGGTGGTTGCAGCCATCTCATGGCGTTGAGAAGACGGCAAAATTGCACACGCATTTTCAGCCGCTGGTTGAGCCTTTTTTTGACGCGATCAATTCAGCGACGTCGGAGAGTTCAGGGTGGTGGCGACATTTTATAGGCGATGGGCGTGTCGACGAGTCCGACGTACGGGCGGGCGGTCAACGCAGCCAACTTTCTTTCAGGTGCGACGAAGCCGCACCGAAAGCATAGATGTCCGGACGGTTTGCTGCTTGCAGATGTGAAATGGCGGTGCACTCCGGGCGAGTGGGACTGGAAGGCCTTGGGGCATGCGCGCAAAGGCGCGGTGAAGTCAAATAGAGTCGTAAGTGCTCAGAGGTAAAGTAGGTGAGCGAATGGGTACCAGGCAAGGTGTTCATTCTGTGGCGGGTGTTCTGTTCGACAGCTCATCTCACAGGCGGCGGGGATGTTGGGTGGTGGGGGTTGTGGTATTTCAGGATCCCAATCATGATTAGCGTAGCGGAGAGTCAATGTAGCGAGAAGAATGCCCGGCTCCGCAGACGATGGAGATTGGTACGTTTTTTTAGTGCACGCATGGCTGTTCTGTGGTGCCTTAGTGAGCGGCTGTCTGTCTGAAGGTCTTGGACGGCTCCCGCAGCCGCGATGCGTCTGGGAAGGGGGGGAGGAGAGAGCTGTCCCTGCATGATGTTGTTGATGGTTGCTGGAGAGAGGTTCGAGGAAGCTTCGTGTCGTGGCCGAGACACAGAAATGTGCTCAGACTTTTTGGCATGGCATGGCATCCGAATGTGTCGCCCCGAGTTGAAGCTGGCCTTGCCGCATTGAGCAGGGGAGGTCGTTCTGCGGTCCAAGTTGAGCTGAGAGTTGACATGACAGTTTTGACGTGCGGCAGATATCCGCATCCTTCAGGATCTGCATCTTGCGACCACGCACCGGGCTGGGCTCAGGGCCAGCTGGTGGTCGGTGGTTGATGTTCGATGTTCGTAGACATGCGTAGATAAATATCAGCTTCCGGGTCGTATCTCGGGACTTTTCTTGCTTTCGCCGCCGTCATCATCGTTGTCATTTTTTCTCTCTTCCCGCGTAAGCTGCAGCTGCCGCCGCCTTCCCTCCATTGGGCGTCGCTAGTCTGGAACGCCACAGGGGTCGTCGAGAAGGCGGTGGCCAGCCCAGGCCAGCTCATCGGAGGGTTGCAACAAGATGGACTGGAATGGGCTCAAGGGCATGCGTCAGGTAATTTTTTCCCCCTCTCCTCTAGCTCCAGGTACCTGGACGCGGTCGTCGGTCGAGCAGTCGAGTTGGACGGTAGGTGCTCTGTATTCTCGCATGAAATAGAGACGATGAATACGAAGAGGTGGACATTTTGGTGCAAAATCATAACAAAGCTTTCCTCTCGTCGAGTTCCGTTGATGGAGGTGGCAGCCCAGACACCGGGACCAGGCCAGCCCAGGCCAGCTGTTCAGGTCCAGTGTTGGATGCGTCCAGGTCCAGCGTCCTGCATGGAACACTGCGGCCCCTCCCCCCCAATTCTTGTCCGGCTCCCCTTGGGCTCCTGGCTCCGAGGGCTCCCCTCCCCTCCAGGTCCCCTCCCCGAAGCTGCGGTGGGTGGGTGAATGGATGAGAATGTGCAGCGTTTGTCCCGTCCCCTCCAGACACCTGGCTCCCGGGGGGAACGAGATAAAATGAAAATTGGCAAATGCGAACTGGGTTCCCACAGTGATATCACCGCTACCTTACATAAAGGGAAATCCCCGTCCACCTCGTCCATCTCTGGCCCTTGGGATCTCTCCTTTTTCCTCTCTCTGCATCCAATTCAACCATCCACACTCGCTCTTTGTTTGTTGTCGTTGCCGTTGCCGTCGTTGCTACTGTAAGTAAGTTGGGTCCGTCTTCGTCTGCTGGCTGCTGCTGCTGCTGCTGCTGCTACGTGTACAACCGCCGTCACTATTGTCACCGCTGATCTGCCCGTCTCCTACTCCAACCGAAAGCCAAGGTTGCTCTCGCGTTCGTCCCATGGCGAGAAGCACCTCACTTCGCCCCCTTCCTCCGCCATATCACCTCCCCCCGCCTTCCCCAAGCTTCACTGTACCTGCTCGATTGTGCCTCTACCGAAATTCTTGCTCCTCGTCACATGGAGAAGCTCGAGAATTACGTCAGGCTACACAGATACCTTTGAGCTCCTAGTCCCAGCACTTTTTCTCCCCATCCATCCCACGGCCAATTCCCTGTCACCGTATGCTCTACCCCGCCGTCTGCGATTTCCCATCCTGTTTTTTCCCCCTCCTTCCACAATATTCTGCCTTCTACACCCCCCCGAGAGCCCGCCAGAATCTTCTCTTCGAGCTCTTTCACAGCCCGGTCGCGTTTACTGACACTCTTTCTCCCCAGTCCAACCTCATTCACCGCGAAACACCCAAACACTCGCCCGCAATGGCTCAAGCGATCAAGAGCGCCCTGCCTACTCACCTGAAGTCTCCTCTTGGAGGCCAGGGCAAGGCTGATGACGCCGAGTTCACCTCCCGCCACCACGGCAAGACGAGGTCTCACATGGTATATACTGCTCTCTGCTCCTCCCATCTTCTCACGCGGCCCCGGGCAGTGCCAATTGAAGTGTGACGACGGGGCTCTGCTTCTCTCACGAGGACGCCATGAAACGAATTGTGCAATGTGAGCACGAGTAGCTACTGGCTGCTTTGTGTCACTCTGCTCGCGTCATTGCCAATCACTTCTGTGCCTCTGGTCCGCCTGTCTCTAGTATGAGCAGTGCATCTTGCAAAGGCCTTTCAAGCCAGTGGCATAGCGAAACAAGCAGCAGGGCGTGGTTTTGCTCTCTGATGGATTCTAGCGATCTGAAGGACGATGCAAAACGCGCTTGGGTTGGGTCGGCTCGGCTCGCAACAGACTTCATGGCGTCTCAGGGGAAAACAACAAGCTGGCCGTAATTGCACACTGGCCCCGCCGCAGATCACTTGACGACAGCTTCATGGAGCCCCACCCAACAGGGGCCGCAATTATACCCAAAACCTACTTGCCAATGGAAGACTGACGATATCCCTCCAAGGCTTTCGAGAACACTTCCACCAGCGTCGCCGCTGCCCAGATGCGCAATGCTCTCACCACCCTCTCCGAGACAGTCACCGACCCCGAGCAGAAGAAGGTCAGTACTCATAATTGAAGCGCCTGTACAAGAACCGCCCAATGCTGACCCCTGCCGCAGCTCTTCGAGACCGAGATGGACAACTTCTTCGCCCTCTTCCGTCGCTACTTGAACGACAAGGCCAAGGGCAACGCCGTGTAGGTCTACAGCGGAAAAGAAGGACAAGCATCGAGCAGGCTAACGAACGATATACAGTGACTGGGACCGCATTGCTCCCCCCGCTCAGGGCCAGGTTGTTGACTACGAGGACCTCGCCAACTCCGAGTCCGTTCAGTTCCTCAACAAGCTTGCCGTCCTCAAGCTCAACGGTGGTCTCGGTACCTCCATGGGTTGCGTCGGCCCCAAGTCTGTCATTGAGGTTCGTGACGGCATGTCCTTCCTGGACCTGTCCGTCCGCCAGATCGAGTACCTCAACCGCACTTACGGCGTCAACGTTCCCTTCATCCTCATGAACTCGTTCAACACCAACGACGACACTGCTGCCATCATCAAGAAGTACGAGGGCCACAACGTCGACATCCTCACCTTCAACCAATCAAGATACCCCAGAATCCTCAAGGACTCGCTCCTCCCCGTCCCCAAGACGTACGACTCCGCCATCAGCGACTGGTACCCCCCTGGTCACGGTGACGTTTTCGAGTCTCTGTACAACTCTGGCATTCTCGACAAGCTCATCGAGCGTGGCATCGAGATTGTCTTCCTTTCCAACGTCGACAACCTGGGCGCCGTCGTCGATCTCCGCGTCCTCCAGCACATGGTCGAGACCGAGGCCGAATACATCATGGAGTTGACCAACAAGACCAAGGCCGACGTCAAGGGTGGTACCATTATCGACTACGAGGGCTCTGTCCGTCTCCTTGAGATCGCCCAGGTCCCCAAGGAGCACGTCAACGAGTTCAAGTCTATCAAGAAGTTCAAGTACTTCAACACCAACAACATCTGGCTCAACCTGAAGGCCATCAAGCGCGTCGTTGAGAACGATGAGCTTGAGATGGAGATCATCCCCAACGGCAAGACCATCCCCGGCGACAAGAAGGGCGAGTCCGACATCTCCATCATCCAGCTGGAGACCGCCGTCGGAGCTGCCATCCGTCACTTTAAGAACGCGCACGGTGTCAACGTTCCCCGTCGCCGCTTCTTGCCCGTCAAGACCTCCTCCGACCTGATGCTCGTCAAGTCTGACCTCTACACCGTCAAGCATGGCCAGCTTCAGATGAGCTCCAGCCGCTTCGGCGACGCCCCTCTCATCAAGCTGGGCAGCGACTTCAAGAAGGTCTCTGACTTCGCCAAGCACATCCCGTCCATCCCCAAGATCATCGAGCTGGACCACCTGACCATCACCGGTGCCGTCAACCTCGGCCGCGGCGTGACGCTCAAGGGCACTGTCATCATCGTCGCTACAGAGGGCAGCACCATCGACATCCCTCCTGGATCCATCCTCGAAAACGTGGTTGTCCAGGGTAGCTTGCGTCTGCTTGAGCACTAAATGGCTCTGGCGGGTTTGTGTATTTTGAGCATTTTACAGCAGAGGTCACGATGCGCGGTAAGCATCTTGGATGACATTCTGAAAACGCGATGGGATAATAGAAATAAAAACGTTCCCCAAAAAGGCGGCACACCTGCATGCCCGAGGCAGTAGCAGTATGAATTTGATAGCATTTTAATAGGCAGCACTGCGTGTTCATGCTCTTGACGGAATTTCTTTTCGGGCCATGTAGGCTGTATGTGATGTCAACGCGTGAGGTGTGATGCGAATACGACTGACACGGCAATGATGTCCAGGAAGGTTAGCGACTGCTGCCAGCCGTGCACCAGCCGGATTGCGACCGACCGTCTCCGGGTGGAGGCTGGCCTTTGGCCTACCTGGCTTGCAGTCCATATCAATCGGCGCCGACTAGCGGTGAGGGACGGGAAAAGGAACGAGGACGCGCGCGACTGCATGACGGGTCCCTGTCCCGGACCTGCGAAGGCGGGTAATATTGCATGACTTGGGGGGTCTGCCGGTTTCCGCGCCGCAGCATTTACAATCTCATGCGTTTTTGTGTTGAGAAGAGGCCCTGTTCTAACTTGTAAGTTTTCGTCCGGATTCGCCGACGGGGGGGGGGGGGGGGGCTGGATGATATATTAAGCCTCGAACAAAGACCTGATCAGGTCCCACCGGCTAATGCTGGGTGTGAGACCTTCATTCGCCGTCTCTTCCATTCTTTGACAACCGTGGATCACCCTGCAACCAGGAGGGCACCAACCTATTGGTCCCCCTTCTTAACTCGGGATCTCTTTTATGCTCGAGAACACACCAAATCCCTCTCTACCTTGTCAACTCCACCTCGTCTGCACACTAGCCCCAGCCCAATCGATCCTCTCTCTCCGCAACACCCGCGAACCAGTAGCGAACGAGAAATGGGTAGCCTCTACAAGTCGCCGGCCCTGCCGTACTGGCAGGTCAATGTGCCGCCGGAGAACCGGACCGAAGAGTGCCCGGAGGGCCTCCGCAATCTCTCCGCCAAGGACGTGGGGATCCTCAGCACGCCGGACGCCGAGTACGTCCCGCAGTCGTGGGAGACCGTGCGGCGCTTCGTCGCCACGAACCGGCTGGACCTGTTCCAGCGGGTGCCCTCGGAGCTGCGCCGGTACCGGCTCTTCATCCACCAGCTGATCCAAGAACACGGCAGCGTCATGAACTTCGTGCTGAGGCGCCGTCTGGGGTGGGAGGAGCCGTTGGTGTCCCAGGGGAAGCCGTTTGAGCTCGACGAGGATCTGAAGATTTTGGTGAATGATTGGCCGTACGGCATTGACGAACGGATTGTGCACCTCGTTGTCTGGACCAAGTTCGAGCTGGAAGAGGATCTGGCGACGGGTGATTTGACCGAGGTGGCGAGGGGTGAGATTGAGGCCTACGTGGACAGGACCTTCCGGTCGAGGACGAAGCCTGATTCGGTGAGTGCTTTGTATGTGGCCCGGGTGAGTCTCGGATGGCTAATTACTTTGTCAGGTCATCTGGTTCAAGAATTGGAGAAGTCTCAAGTCCGTCCATGCGGTCGAGCATTTCCACGTTATGCTCTTCGACCCGGATCCCGAATTCATCAAGGACATCACCAACGGAGATGTTCCGCAGTGCGAAAAGTTTCGTGCATGGTGAGGAGATGGGCATTAGAGCAAGGTTCAGGATCCGCAACGGCGGCGAGCAAACACGGTATCGCCGTCATTTTCAGCATTATTACGCACAGAGAGCACAAAACGAGGGAACAAAGATCTCGGTGGGGAAAAGTTCGTTTTGCTATGCGCGGGCACTGACGAGCTCTCTGTACTCGACGCGCGAGGCCTCGGCCATTGTAATGGCCGTCGGCTTTTCCATCGCCACTTTGATAACCCAGCCCGGTGCCTGCGAGGCAGAGGACGCGGCAACGCCTTTGATATCCTCGCGGATGCTCTGTGTAATGGCGGGGCCAAGGGCCTCGAGAGTCTCAAAGGACGAGTCTGATAGCGTCTTTGCCCCGGATAATGTTAGGTTATCATTCTGTAGACGGGCATAGGAGAATGTTTAAAACGACCAGGGATTAGAAATACAAGAGAGAAGAGATAGACTGACCTTTACAACAATAGACTCAATGCCGACGTACACGTCTTCGGACACGTCAAACTGCTCAATCTCCACGTCCGCCGCAAGAATCTGCCTTGCGAGTCTCTCATTGTCGTTTACACCAATAAGAGTGGGCACCCGCAGATCGTGAAGGCGAAGGCAAGAGCTGCGTACATCGACCGGTGACGGGCCCCCTTGGGGACTGAAGACGGCGGACGCTGACAGACTAACAGCGCTCCCGAGGAGAGACGCCTTGGGCATCGTGACGTTCAGGTTCATGAACCGAACCAGCGAGAGCCTATCCCGCAAGAAACCAACGCTTCCCTCCTCGGCAGGAACATACTGTCCATCGAGAGAGAGGCCGGTCAGATCGGCCCAGATCTGACCAACTGCGTCCCGGAGGCGAATATGTGAGGGCTTGCCGGCTGATTGTGCCTTCTTGTTGATGCCCCCAAGACTAGAGAGGATGGCCTTGGCGAGCAAGCCGTAATGCACTGTGTCGTCGCTGACACGGTCCGAGGAGGACGCGGCGTCAAAAGGGCTGGCCATGGACAGCTCCGCCGACACGCGGACCGGCTGCGACTTGTTCTCGCGGCCCCAGGCGTCGGTCCCGGCCTGGATGGTGCCCTGCAGGTCGCGGACGCGGATCACGGCGAAGGGCTCGCCGGCCTCGGCGCGGACTTGCCACGAGGAAGCTAGGCGAGGGGCTGCCATGGTGGGAATGAAGCAGTTGGACGGTCCTGCAGCGAATCTGACAGCGGCCGCTCCGAGTATTCAACCAGGTTGACGAGTGTTGTGACGAATGGATGTCTGTGAGAGGGAGTCGTTTGGTGCACACCAGAGATTTGTGTCTTGCGCACTGGGTACAAGCCCCTCTCAAAGCCTGTATGGGGCCCACCGCCGACCTTGGGTTTTGGTTGAGTGTAGTCCACAACGGTGAAGAACATCATGACTACAGCGCTCTCTGCTCGAGATTGGACAGTGAGCAACTACGACCAGGGCTGCACTGTTCGTGTCCCTACTAGGCATCGAGCCATTTGGTCGCACGGCTGGGAATCCAAACAATTACACGAATTCATTATTTTGGTTATTTGGCTGTCTCTGAACAGCTGTGCGGCATGACCTTTATAACACTCAAACCGCTCATAGCACGGCGTCTTCAACCCTAGATACCCAAGAACTTGCGCAAATCCTCCGTGTCACGGGCGGTCCATGCAATCTTGGCCTTGATGGAATCGGTAGACTGCGACAGCGCTCGAACGTAACCCTTCTTGTCCTTTGCGGCAAAGAACTTGTCGACTTGGTCCAGCTGCTCTTGCTTTGTGAGGCCACTGGTGCAGTAGCTAACGATACTACCGATCATGGAAGACTGGGCAGGGAACTTGGTGTAGATCTCGTCCCACCTCGTCTGCATCCAGTCGAACAGAGCCTCGATGCCACTCTTGCTAGACCGCAGGCTGCCGATGGGGATGTACACATCCTGATCGCGGATCTTGCCGCTCAGCAGCATATCCAAAGTACGTTGTCTGAGCTTAGGGTCACGAGCCTGTCCCAACGTGCGCAGGGCGCTGTTGCGTTCGTCGCTCGTCTCAGCGGTCTCGTAGTACTTGAGTACGGCATCGTACTACAGCATTTTGGTCAGTTGATGAATCGCAAGAAAAGGACAAGAAACTCACCTCCTTCTCGCCACCGTACTTCAGCACGATGGAGAACGCGGAGCTTCTGATGTTCGGGTGAATGGCGGTCCTGTCTCCAGCCGCAAACTTCTCAAACATCTCCCGCGCCGCGGCAAGAACCTTCTCGTCGCCGGCCATACCGGCCGCACCAAACATGAGGGCCTTGTACTGTTGCTCGACGTGGCCGTCAGCGCTGGAAAACTTCCAGCCTAGCTTGTGGGCCATGCCGCTGACAATGTTGCGCTGGAACTCGGTCAACTTGTCGACAACCTCCTCATCCTCGATCCATGCCATCTTGATGGACCCAAGGCGAGTGAGAATCTGGTCCCAAACCAGGTACTCTGCCTCGCCGGCGTTGCTCAGAGCCTTGAACAGACCCAGGCAAGAAGACGTCTTCTGGTAACCCGAAGTAGCCAGCGCACTGGTGTCAGCCACGATGCCAACTCTGTCTTGGACGGAGAGAAGCTCAGCAGCATTGCCAAGCTTCTCGAGTCTGTCAATGCCGTACTTTGTGCGGTAGAATCCGGTGGAGTCGGCGTTAATCTTGAAGAAGTCGGCGTCCGCGACCTCGAATTTGGCGTCGCGGGTCGTGAGCATCAAGTCCTTGTCAACACCGCCCTTGGTGCGGACATTGAGAGAAATGGGATAGAGGACCTTGTCCTCCTCGGGCTTGACATCTCCGGTAGTTAGGAAACGGTGCTGCTCCACGCTGATCGAGTTGCCCGTCTCGGTAACGGAAACGACAGGGTAACCAACATTCTGGGTCCAGATGTTCATGATGGAACCGACATCCTTGCCGCTGGCTTCACTGAGAGCTTGCCACAGGTCGTTTGTCGTGGCATTTCCCCACGCGTGTCGCTTGAGATACTTACGGACGCCCTCCATGAAGACATCCTCGCCCAGGAAGGCTGAAATCATGTGAACGACGCAGGAGCCCTTGGCGTAGCTGATGCTGTCAAAGATTTCATTAATCTCCTCGGCCTTGTGGACGGGAACTTCGATGGGGTGGCTGCTCCTGAGGCCATCGAGGCCAAGGGCCGCTTGAAGATCCTCCCTGACGAAAGACTCCTTGAGCTTCCACTCAGGGAAGAACGCGTTCAGAGAGTAGCGAGATGCAAACTCGGCGAATCCCTCGTTCAGCCACAAAGCGTGCCACCAGTCGGGAGACACAATATTTCCGAACCACTGGTGAGCAATCTCATGGGTGATGACGGTTGAGACACGCTCTTTGGCTGCGGCACCGCTCGTCTTGTCATCGAAAAGGACCTCGACAGTACGGTAGGTAACGAGACCCCAGTTTTCCATGGCTCCAGCGGCAAAGTCGGGAATGGCAACTTGGTCGAGTTTCGGCAAGGGGTAGGGGAGACCGAACGCCTTCTCGTAAAACTCCAAAGCCTTGACACCAATCTCCAGTGCGTAGCGTCCTCGCTCAATATCCTCGGAGGGAGGCGCGTAGACTCGAAGAGGCACCCGGAAGTCATTGTTCTCAATGTAGTTGAGTTCTCCGACGATGAAGGCAACGAGGTAGGTCGACATGACGGGGGACTTGTTGAAGCGAACGGCCTTCTTTCCCGCGGGCAGCTCCTTCTCTTCGGCAACGTCCATGTTGGACAGGCACGTCAGGTTCTTGTCGGCAACAAGGGTGACGGTAAACTCTGCCTTGAGCGCAGGTTCGTCAAAGCAGGGGAATGCCCGACGAGCATCGGTAGGTTCCATCTGACTGGTAGCTAGAATGCCCTTGGAGCCGTCAGGCTTGGGGTAGTATGAGCGGTAGAAGCCAGCCATCTTGTCGTTCAGTTCACCAACGAACTTGATTTCGAGAGTACCCTTGGCGCCCTTTGTAAGACGGTCCTTGAACTCGAAGGTGTGGGTCTGCTTGGGCTCGTCGTAGGTGATGACCGGGTCGCTGAGGCTCTTTTGCTGGCCTTCGGCCGACAGAGACAGGGCGGCATGCTTGACTTCAATGTCGAGAGTATTCAGGGACACGGTGTTTGAGTCTTGGGCAACGTCAAAGTCGATCTTGACGTGACCGTCGAATTTGAGCGTCTCAAAGTTGGGCTCGAGGGTCAGATCATAGTGGCGCGGGACGACGTTGGTGGGCAGCTGCTCTCTGGGGTAGTTCAGCGTGCCTGCGCCGGCAGCTTCTCCGTGCCTGCACATGTTTCGTTTGAATGAGCAGTGTCGTGTGGCGGCGAGGCGCTGGGGATTTTGGAGTCGAACCTTTCGTTTGGGAGGGGTAGCTCGGGAGGTGGAGGTTTGTTGCGCTGAGAATGCACTATATGTTCTCAACTGGTATGGTCTGTATCGCTCGTTGTTAGCCAATGAATACCTGCTGCGGTGTATGCTGCCGATGAGCAATCCAGCTGGAGAACCCACATGCGCGCAAGTGGCCGTCTGGTCGATGTGATGCGTGATGTCAAATCGACCGTACGTTTGGTTACGAAACGGAAAGCCATGAAGGAGGGGGCGGGGGCCAGAGCAACAAAAGAACGAAAGCGGTCAGTTCGGGCACCCAGCTACCTGAGGTAAGGTAAGCTATGCACGTCTAAGGAAGGTACATGTAACGCGGGGTCCAATTCCAGAGAGGGGAAGGGGGATAGAAAGCTTCCAGAGGCTCCAGTCTCAGCCATGGGGATGCGCCGATGCAGGCCGCGCTGCTCGCCCGGATGCGCAAATCCAAGACTCCCCACCTTCTGCCTCAGGTCACCGACCCGTGCTGCTCTCTGCTCCGCCCGAGTTCCACACCAAGCCGCGTCCACCCGATCCGGCCCACAGCCGTTCCGAGCGTCCATCCTCCCGGATTCTGCCCTGGTCCTCCCGTGACATTTTCCATGTCCGAACCAACAGCGCCGTTCGGAAAGTCGCCCGGGCGAAATCGAGAAAATGACCACGTGCGGCCATTGGCGTGGGAAAACATCCACAAGGATAAACATTTACCAGACAACCAAACACTTGAAGAATTGGTGTCCAGCGAGTAACTCCGCTGCCCACATTCACAACCTGGAGGCCCCCCAAAGGTATCATTAACTTTGCCTCTGTCCCAGTGGGCATGCCGGAATCGAGTGCACCAGGCATTCTACGACCAATGCTAGTGACCACTTCTGCGCGTTGAGCCAGCGGTGCTAGGCGTGCGCGTGCTAACTTTGGATGGCTGCCCGAAGCAACGATACTTTGCATGTCCATGCCTGAAAGTATCATGCAAGCAGTGTCTGTGTTGGGCTGTGTTTGTACAGTTGTGACCATCATGCGCCGGCAAAGGGCGTTGCGACATGGTTGGAATCGGGGCTTGCAGATGGGCTGGGTAGGCTGTGAGTCCGGAGAATCTCGGTCACACCATTTTATCAGACAGTGGTACATCTGGGAGATGGACGAATTTCTGCCGGTGATTCGGTCCAAAGACGGGAAATCTAGGCTGGATAGCCACCATCCCGGTTCAGCTGAGAGCGTGTTCCCCAGATATCGTGCATCCAAGGACAACCAGTGCGTATGAATGCAGCATTGGCGGACCCTAAAGAACGGGGCCAGCATTCAAAATACTGAACTTTAGATTGTAAGGCTGTTCGCAGATGCAAACGCATTTATGCTGTGTGTTTTTGTCTATCAGTTTCGGCTCGGTCGAAAGGACGGCCGAGTCGCGGGTAAAGGAAGTCATGTTGGTGGTGTTAGTCCAAGAGGAAACACGACTGACGTCCACTCCCCACGCCAAGGACCACTTCCCCGGGACAGAAAACAAACGTCATCCCACTTGGGCTTCAAAGAAAGAGGCCAAAAGTACCAATTCCCATACTATGACTTGCCTACAGATGTCTTACCCCGGCATTACTGGACGGGGTGACGGGGTCGGGATCCATGATCGGGAAGAACCGCATTAGCACCTGGCTATTCCGAGCAACATCCTCGGGATAATCCATGGCGGCCAGCGCGTCCCAGGCGTTTTGTGGAGTAAAACGACCGTTCACTGATGGGAATTGCCAATGAGCATCTCGTCGTTGGACCGGGGTCCGGGGAAAAGACGTCTTGAAGATCGGGAATCGGGACCTGGAGATTGTCGAAGACGCGCTTTTACGCATGAGGCCCAGATTGAGCCCACTGGACACCCGACAATGGATGGTTGCAAAGCCGTTGTGCAGACGACGTTGGTGTGGGCGGCCAATCAGACGATGGTTCTGACATAAGGGTGCCAATCGACAAGACACCCAATGGCAAAAGCTTTCTGCCACTGTTCGGGACCGAGGTTTTTTGACATGGAGACGCACGGGTGAAGCGAGATTTTGATGCTGGATCTGTGGCTGGGGACGAAAATAGATGAGGACCCAATGGCGAGAGACAACAGCGGAAACGTGTCTGGTCGCATTGGCAGGGCAGCAATTTCTAATGCGCGGTTTGTTGAGGAGCGGCCCTCACCAAAGAAGCCGTGGCAGTCGTCGTGTTTGCTGGGTGGTGGTGCTAAGAATGGTACCATGAAACGAAGCTGTTTTGTGGTCGTTCTTGGCCTGTTTGGAGCTCCAGACCCATGTAGCGCTTTAGCAGGGCCGATGCCCCGCCTTCTCTAGGGTCCGGCTGCCAACGAGCAATTGGACGATGTCGAGATACCCACCAAAAAGAAGGTGCGAGCAACAATGCAGCCCGGGGCTGAGGAGGTGGTGTACCTCAGGTAGGTAAGGCATGATACCTCTTTGCAGGTACCTACAGTACCTACAGTACCTACCTTTCTACCTACCGGATGGACTGCACCCTGACCTGACCGGGGCTGGGCTGGACAGGGAATACCTACACGCTCTGGGCTCACCTCACCTCAGGTAGGCAAGGTGGGGTGGGAAGGGAAAGACCCCTCCAAAACACTGAACACTCCTCTGCCACCTTCGTCCCCTTCCCCTCGACTGCTTTGGCACAACCATCCCTCTCCTCCATCACTGCAGCCTCATTTTTGCACACCAACTCAATTGCTGAGGTACATTTCGCGGCTTCTTCATCCTAAAACCACCCAAGTAAGTCGTGTTCCATCCACGTCCAAGCCCCCTCTATCAAACCAGCTGCCCCGCCATGTCAAAGCTGTATGCCGTTGGCCGTGAAGCTTGCGAGAAAATCACCCCACCATGCCATCCCACCCTGAGGCAATTGTTTTGTCCGGTCAAGGAGCACTCGCAAGCTTAGCAATTTCCCCGAATCGGTCCTATCATTGCCATTTGTTGACTCACCCACTTGTCTTTTTCCTGCCCCCTGCAATATAAAGCCTTCTCCTCCCCCCAAACTGTCGACTAACATCTCTCCTCTCCTTCCGCTAGGAATCATACACTACACATATCATCACCATGGCCATCACCAAGATCCACGCTCGCTACGTCTACGACTCTCGTGGCAACCCCACCGTCGAGGTTGACGTCGTCACCGAGACCGGCCTTCACCGTGCCATCGTCCCTTCCGGTGCTTCCACTGGTACGTCGTCGTCCCCGCCGTTTTCCCTCCCCCGGTTCATCATACCCCAAGAAGAGATGGAAGTGATCAAAGGCTGATGGTATCCATTGAACAGGCCAGCACGAGGCTTGCGAGCTCCGCGATGGTGACAAGACCAAGTGGGGTGGCAAGGGTGTCACCAAGGCCGTCGACAACGTCAACAGCATCATTGCCCCCGCCCTGATCAAGGAGAACCTTGATGTCAAGGACCAGACCAAGGTCGACAAGTTCCTCATCGACCTCGACGGAACCCCCAACAAGACCAAGCTCGGCGCCAACGCCATCCTCGGTGTCTCCCTGGCTGTTGCCAAGGCTGGTGCTGCTGAGAAGGTTGGTCTCGTCATAATATCGTGTGCTTTGCCTCGTCTGACCGTCTCTAGGGTGTCCCTCTGTACGCCCATGTCTCCGACCTGGCCGGAACCAAGAAGCCTTTCGTCCTGCCCGTTCCCTTCATGAACGTCCTCAACGGAGGCTCCCACGCTGGTGGCCGTCTGGCCTTCCAGGAGTTCATGATCGTCCCCTCGTAAGTTTGACTTGAGAGCTCTGAACAGGCGAGGATGTGATCTCCGGCTGACATGTACTGCCCAGTGACGCTCCCTCCTTCTCTGAGGCCATGCGCCAGGGTGCCGAGGTTTACCAGCAGCTCAAGAGCCTGGCCAAGAAGAAGTACGGCCAGTCCGCCGGCAACGTCGGTGACGAGGGTGGTGTTGCCCCCGATATCCAGACTGCCCAGGAGGCTCTTGACCTCATCACCGATGCCATTGAGAAGGCTGGCTACACTGGCAAGATGAACATTGCCATGGACGTTGCCTCCTCTGAGTTCTACAAGGAGGACGCCAAGAAGTACGACCTGGACTTCAAGAACCCCGAGAGCGACCCTACCAAGTGGATCACCTACGAGGAGCTCGCGGCTCTGTACTCGGATCTCTGCAAGAAGTACCCCATCGTCAGCATTGAGGACCCCTTCGCCGAGGACGACTGGGAGGCCTGGAGCTACTTCTACAAGACCCAGGACATCCAGATTGTCGGTGATGACTTGACCGTCACCAACCCCCTCCGCATCAAGAAGGCCATTGAGCTCAAGTCCGCCAACGCTCTCCTGCTCAAGGTCAACCAGATCGGAACCCTGACCGAGTCCATCCAGGCCGCCAAGGACTCCTACGCCGACGGCTGGGGTGTCATGGTTTCTCACCGTTCCGGTGAGACTGAGGATGTCACCATCTCCGACATCGTCGTCGGTATCCGCGCTGGCCAGATCAAGACCGGTGCGCCTGCCCGTTCCGAGCGTCTTGCCAAGCTCAACCAGATCCTCCGCATCGAGGAGGAGCTTGGCAGCAACGCCGTCTACGCCGGTACCAACTTCCGCAAGGCTGTCCAGCTGTGAGCTGGGTCAGTTTTTCCTGACATGAATACCAAAACCGAAACCTAATTCCTTCATTCAATATGCCTTGGGGGATGGGATAAAAATTGATGAGACATGCCTGGCGCTGAAAGAAAGACGCGAGGGATGGATGGGAGCACCGATGATGAAACTCGTAGCTTACCGTACCTACCTAACTTGAATGATAAAAGTACAATTTCCCCAATCAAGCAATGCATAATTGTCGATGTGCAAGACAACGTCGCCTCCGCATCTGGCCAGGGGATGTCCATGGAGAGCGGCAAGCTGGCAACACGTGAAGTCGGGCAACCCCGCCAGTCGCTCACCGCAAGATAGGCGCAGTATGCGGCGCTTCAGCATCGGCGGTCCTTTGGTATGGGCAGGTTAAGGTCGCCTTAGGTAATACTGCGCTCCAATCTCGATCGTCCCTTTCCAGCTAGCATGTACTGCAGTGGAGCACGACAGAGGATGAGATGGAGCACAGGGCAGCCGCCAACTCAGCTTGTGGACCAGCAAGTCGAGCTTCAGGCTGTGTGGTGCAAGGTGAGCCATGTCGCAGCGAGAAAGTTGTGGCAGACATCCTCTTAGGCCGTGTGGCCTTGAATTGCCAGGACGAAAAGTTGGCATTAGCATTCGTATCGTGGAGTGTCAGCCAATGCCGGTTCGGTTACCTTGTATCGTCGAGAGGGGGGACGGAATGCGTACCGCAGTAAAGAAAATCCTTGGCAAAAGCACAAGACCGCACTGCTGGGCCACAACTGGTGCACGCCTAGGTAGGATGGAAAGGACGAGACAGTCCGGACTTGACAGGGGTTCGCGTGGCGTGGCATTGCGCTGAGCGTTTGTCGTCATTCATGAAACTCCAGACCAGACGATGAGAGAGACAAAATGTTCCAAGCGTTCTTATTATTAGGTTCCCTGCGAAGATCAGCCAACCTACAAGTCTTCAATTGACTTCGGGCCGTCAAACACATGACATCTTTACTCCTCATTCCCTCGCGCCAAGGTCTGAGGCTCATCCATTCCCTTCCCTTGATGAATGCAAAGCACAGAGTCTTCCCTACGTTGTTGGTCTTTACCTCACCTCGCCTGGCCTGACATATCGCCTACCCCCAGACCACCTTGTCGGGCTCCCGCGCGAGCGTGCGCTTGCATTCAAACAAAAACGCAGGCGTGCTATCTCTTAGCGTCCCGCTGGGGTCGTGGAGACGAGACGCCCCCTGTCCTGCCGAAGCGTACCCACGTCTATCCTTCCATCCTCCATCTATATCAATATTGTTCTCCGCCGACCAGCAACGTCGACCGTATCGTCCCCTTGCTGCAGAGTCCAGACTGTCGGAAGAAACACTTGCATTGCTGAATGCCTTGCCAGACATAAACCCCTTCGTTACCTAGCCATCTCGGAGCCCGAGCCACACCGTTCGGACTGCGGCCGACCCGCGTGGGGGTTTCTCCTGCTTGCCACTCAGTGTCTACCACCTCCTGGGTCCGGCCCGGTCCGGTGTCTCTGACCAAGCGACTGGCCGACTTGGTTTTCTCGCCGTCCTCGCCGGCCTCACCTGTCAAACATCCTTTGCTTCAACCATTACGTACGCATATCTTTGCTGCACCGCACCCCTGGCTAGGCGCGTTACATCCCGTTCCCCGAGCATTCTCGCCTTGCCTACCATACCCTCGCCGCCGGGTTCACATATTAGCGAGAAACTACTATGTCCGACCGTGGCCGCCGGACGCGTCTTCAGCTTCCGGAAGAACGGCCGCTTCTGCAACGGAACCGCCCTAGTCATGCTTCTCAGTTTCAAGTACCGCTCTATGGCTGCATGACCACCCCTCACAATCATCTGCCTGTGTACACCAATATCCACCGCATCAGGAGAGACATCATATCCATTGTTGAGGACTACCTCAGCTTGGAGCAGCTCCGCGACGTGAGAATCAACATTGCCGTTGTCCGTCCGCTAGTTGACAAACTCTATGAGCTTGATGACATATCCATAGGTGAGTCCAACTCGATGTCTCCGCGTGCCATCTTCACATGCCTCTCAGGGGATGAAAAGCACACCTTGGCTGTCATCACTTTCCTTCCTTGACTTGGCTAACTTGTTTCGACATCAGTTTATTGCTTGCTTGTCAACCGCGCTCAGTTTCTCCATGAGCAGTCACATCTCAACAGCCGTCAAAATGTCAACTACAGTCGTGCAACGCTGTGTGAGCTCGTGGCAACGCGTATCTTGAGACGCTTCAGCGAGGACAATGACGGCCCAGAGGGTCTCGTCTTGCTATCGCACATTTTGGTCGCCGGATTCGAACCCTTTCAGAATGCTCCGGCTGGGATTCGCGAGGCAGCCTCGACTGAGACTTATCGGTCTTACAATCGCATGCTGCCATCGCTGGAAATTGCTATCTTGACTGAGAGTAAACACTTCCTCAGCGCCACCCCTTGTCAGAAAGTGTGAGTATTCTTTTGCTCGTCGGGCCTTGAAAGAGTCTAATCCGTCCCCCAAGCGTCGATGCCATCTACGAAGGCCGGATCGTCTACACCCCTTCCAGCTTCATGGACATCATTCCAGATCATTACAAGCTGAAGCCTATCTCGCTGTACAATCCACGAGAGGGGCCTCTGCTCGACCAATATCGGCTGCTGGTGCCTCGCACAAGAAACATTCTCGAGGTCTTCCAGTTTATGGTTCTGCTTGCCCTCTACCTTTCTGTAATGGCTGAGCGCAATCCCGAACATTTCACTCTTTTGGAGGGGTGCTTCGCCGTCTTTGCATTTGGATGGTCTCTTGACCAGTTCGCGACTATTTTGGAACACGGATGGTACGTGGACGACCCATGGGAACAGAATGTTGTTGCTGACTTTCAGACAGGCACGTTTACACCCAAAACTTGTGGTCCTTCCTCGACGTGGGCTTCATCGGTCTTTACGCCATATATGCGGTTCTTCGCATCCATGGCGGCCGTACTGGCGAGCTGGTGCTGAAGCAACAGGCGCTCGACGTGCTAGCCATGGGTGCCCCCGTTCTAGTGCCGCGGCTTGCTTTTAACCTGCTTTCAGACAACCTCGTCTTCCTTTCTCTACGCTCCATGATGTCGGACTTTGTTCTCTTGACATTCTTATCAGCTTGGTGTTTTGGAGGGTTCCTCCTGTCACTTCTATGGCTCGGCGAGGGCCCGCCTGGAGAAGGCGAGCATGCTCCTGTGTAAGCCAGCCTTACCAACGCTGTATCAACATGCATACTGACATACTCGGGGTAGTCTGATTGGCAAGTGGATGTTGTGGATCTGGTTCGGGCTCGACGGCACCGGCATATCGCGATCGGTAAGTTTTCTGACGTGCTCCGGACGACATCGATTGACTCACGACATAGGCCGACTTTCACCCCCTGTTGGGTCCAGTCTTGATGGTAGCATTTGCGTTTTTGGGAAACACTCTCTTCCTCACGATTCTCGTATCGATGCTTTCCAACACCTTCAGCACAATCGTCAAGAACGCAACAGCAGAAATTCAGTTTCGGAAAGCTGTGTTAACGTTGGAGGGAGTGAAGGGCGATGCTATTTTCGCCTACCAGCCTCCCTTCAACATTTTGGCCGTATTTCTTCTGCTTCCGTTGAAATTCGTCCTCGGCCCGCGATGGTTTCACAAGATACACGTAGCGAGCGTCAGACTGGTCAACCTCCCGCTGCTACTCATCATCGCTGTGGCAGAACGCCGAATCTTGTGGCCTCCCCCGCCGCCGGAGAAGACCAAGGGCGGCGGGGCCTTGACACTGTACCCCAGGGTCAAGCAATGGTTCTGGGAGAAGTGGCGCATAACGGCCCATCGCGACATAAGAGCCGTGTTTGACCTGCCGCCCCCCGACTCCGTGGAAGAGGAAATCGCTGTGGACGACGACTTTACGCACCACATGATCCGACGCCAATTCACGAGGACGATCACGAATGACACGATGCGCAAAAAGTCGCCTCTTAGGAGAGACTCGATGTTTCCAGGGGTCTCGTCGAAGCTGCGAGGATCCTTTACGGGCAGCGAAGACATGCACGACGTTAACAGCAGGTTGGAGGCGCTGGAGCAGACGACATCCAGAATCGAGAGTCTGTTGACACGCATGGTGGGATCTGATGACTACTCGGATAAGAACTTTGGCACCGGGGAGAGCAGCACTCTCCGTGATATGGATGCCTCATTGACCCAGTCACCTCAGTAAGCTGGGCTCTGGAAGCACCCGGCTGTTGGTGTGCTCTGGCACCGACCAACCTTCCGTGGGAGCAGTTGTATTGTGAGAATGAGTAGGAAATAACCGCAACTTCGTGAAACATTTATTCCATATGACATCATGTGCACGGCTGCGTATATCTTGTGCTTCCAAGTTAGAGCTAAAAAGTCACTCAGTTGCGGCGATTCGTCCGGAAAGGCTGGTGGAGGCTTCAAGATCGGCTCCTGCCATTCACTGCCACGGTGTAGCTAGACCTTTCTCACCTCGCTCATATAGCTGACGGGGCACTTTGTATCCAAACCAAGCGCAACCTTGAAAAACCCACCTACCCAGGCTGATGCGCCACGTTCCTAGACAGCGAACCTACCCAAGAAGAATGTGCGAAGTTTTCATCTACAAGCACGTCGAGTGCAAGTGCATCTGGGGTGAGATTGCAGTCTCCTGCGGACCCGGAATGGGCTACACGACATGCGGCCAGTTCGGAAGTGGCATCGCGAAAAAGCCTCTGCGAATGCAGCTCGCCAACCTGCGGCCGTGCCCCAAACATGACCTCCTCGGACTCTACGACCGCAACCAGATTCGGATGATTAAGAAGATTACCAACGGCATCAAATTTGGCACGGGCCCCAACAAGCAGGATGCGGGCATCGAATGCGCCTGCGCCATCATGTGAGGAGGCCGAAACCGAGGGTTGCGGGCAGGGACAGAGAGCATGGAGGTAAGGAAAGAAGATGGCGGCTGGGGCCGAATTTTGCGAGCTGACGGGTAATTGAGCAGGGCCAAGAC